CATAATGAACTCCCATCTAAGAGTATTATAAGATATTTTTAATTTCCATGTTAAAAATAACATTACCTCCTCTCCCTTTTTTGTCAATATCAAGACATAATTCTTGAGCAATCAATAAGAGCATTATCAAGAGCATTATCACCAATAAACCTTCATTTAATGAAAGCAGATTGATTTTTATAACCCAGTTTATCCCACTTTAGAAACTATTTTAGAAACCATTGTGTTAAGACTACTTGGTCTATAAGCATCCCAACTTAGACCACATTATCTTTAGGAATAAGAATAAGATTAGAAGTTTTACAATATTTGGGAAGACCCATCACTCTGAAGAAATCCTACACAACTCCAATAAGATCAGCTTTAATAAAATCCTAATAACTTTTATAAAAATTTGCAGAAAAAACCATCAGTCCCTGCAGATTTTTATCATCAATGTTGTCCAAAGCAGCTTTAATTTTAGCTTCATCAGGAACACTATCAAGAACAGTGTTCTCAGCATAAATATAATTATCAACAAAGAGAGACACATAAATATTAGCAAGCTCACTATCATCACCTTTTAGAAGATTAGAAAAATACTTAACCCCAACAGTTTCAATCGCATCATAGCAAGAAAGAACAATGCCTTTGTCATTCTTAATCTTACTGATGTTGTTAAGCAATCTTTTTTTCTAGATAAACACATGAAAGAAGGTCACCATTCACAAATAATTTACTCGTATCCTTTTGTTTATAGTAATACTCTTCCATATTAATGGCCGCAACAAGTCTCTCTTGGCCAGTCAAGAAAAGACTATGAGCAATAATATCATCACTATAATCTTTTTCAATATTCCTTAAATTATCTTCAGCGGATAAAGACAGAATGAATATTCCCAAAATAATCCCGATTCCAGCTTCAGGGTTTATTACAAAAGCCATAACCTTTTGCCTTTGTTATAAAAAAACCTCACAAGACCAATTATCTTTAACAAATTTTTAAAAAAAATCATGCACAATCCATGTGTTTAAAAATCTAAATTGATAAACCCTAGGTCTATTATTGAGATTAACAGTAATCAAGATAGAAGCATGATCTGAACAACTGATAGACATACATGTTATAGAAAAAGCATGATAAGTCATCATTCAAAGATAATTACCAAGAAACCTATATAGCTTTTCAAAAGCCTTTCTCCTAAACCAAGTGAAAGGATTACACGTATAACCAATATCAAAGAGACCAGCTTCCAATAAAACATAATTGAAATAAATAATAGGCCTTTGGTTTGAATACTTACCTCCTTTCTTCTCAGTAACAGAGGGGATAACATTAAAGTCACTCCCCACAATCCATTCTAATAACATATCACATGGTGCCAATTTACATCATTCACTTACAAACATTCAACACCTTTTGTTTGAACATTTATTACCAATAATCATTTACCACATTGTAAAGAAAGGGTATATGACCTAATAACATAATTAAAGCAAACATATGATAGAAAGATTTAGATAGGGAGAAAGAAAGAGCCACATAAGACCCTAAACTCCACAAAAATTATGAAATCCTTCAACACAAACCAAACATATCCAAAGTTTAGGTTTCTTATTACTCATCCAAGCCAATCACTTATAATTTCCTATACTATATTAACTACAAAATAATGTATATGGGAGTGCACAATAAATAGTAATATATAAAAAAGAAAGAACCAAAAAAAAAGAAAAACAAATTGAAAATCACCATCATAACCCCAAGCATACCAAAGTTACTAAGGAAAAGTGAGACAACTATAGATAAGCCATAACTAAACACACCTGAAAACCACATAAAATGAAGAGAGACCCATGAGCCTCCAATGCTAAAATCACCATCATAACTCCATGCATACCAAAGTAACTATAGAAAAGTTAGACAACTATAGATAAGCCATAACTAAACACACATGAAAACCACATAAAATGAAGAGAGACCCATGAGCTCCTATGCTCAACAATTCCTATTGCAACATACCAAATAAACTAAAGAAACTAGAGATCGCCACAGAGAAGACAAACACACACAGATGGAAGAGAGCCCCATAAGCTCTCCATGCTCATAAATTTACATTTTCATTCTAAAGAAAAAAAAATAATAATAAATAGATAACCCCTCATAGATGACATAACCAAACACACCTAAACACATTCATGAGGAGGAGAGCACCATCAACCCTCCATGATCATCAATTCACATTTTGACATACCAAAGGAACTATAGAAATTAGAAAAAAATATAGATGTCATAACCACACACACCTGAATGCACATTTGAGGAGGGAGCCCCATAAGCCTTTTCTGAATTGAACATTTATGGTTAATAATCATTTAATCAAATTTTAAAGAAAGAGTAAATGACCTGAAAATATAAAAAGGCAAACATATAATAGGAATGTTTAGATAAGGAGAAAGAAAAGAGCCCCTTAAGATCCCAAACTCCACACAAATTGAGAAATCAATCAAAACTAACCGAACACACCCAAACTTCAGGTTGCTTATTACTCGTCCAACCTAATCACTTTTAATTTCTTATATATGTCAATAACAAAACAAAGTAGAGGGTAATGCACAATAAATGATAATATATAAGGAAGAAAGAAATGAAAAGCCCAAGCATGCTAAAGAAACTAAAACAAAGAGAGACAACCATAAATTAGCCTTAACTAGACACACCCAACAACCACATAAAAGGAGAAAGACCCATGAGGCCCCCATGCATATCAACTCATATTACAACAAACCAAAGAAACGAAAGAAACCTAAGAAAGACATAAAGAAGCCATAACCAAACACACCCAAATACACATAGATGGAAGAGAGTCCTATAAGCTTTCCATGTTCATAAAGCCATAAAGAAGCCATAACCAAACACACCCAAATACACATAGATGGAAGAGAGTCCTATAAGCTCTCCATGGTCATAAATTCTCCAAAAAAAAAAAAAAAAAAAAAAAAAACAAAAAACACTCACATAGATGACATTACCAAACACACCCAAACGTACACATAAGGAGGAGAGCACCATAAGCCCACCATGCTCATCAATTCATTTTTTAGCATTCCAAAGACACCAAAGAAATTAGAAAAAAATATAGATGTCATAACCAAACACATCTAAATGCAAACTTAAGGAGGAGAGCCCCATAAGCCCACCCCTCTTCCCTCACCCATGTTTATCAATTTATATTTCAACAAACCAAAGAAACTAAAGGAAATAGAGAAAATCAAATAGATGTCATAAACAAATACGATCAAACACATATAGAAGAAAGAGAGCCCCATAAGCCACCCATGCTTTTCATATCATATTTCGACAAACCTCAACATAACATAAACCCACATCATGGTAGAGGGAAATCCTTAAATGCATAAACTGTAGTAAAAAATCAAATGAGAAGATAGAAGAGGGAAGAACACACATGATTGAGATGAGGGAAGAATATGAGGCATACCTACAATGAAGAATGATTGGGAATGAATAGATGAAAGGAAGAACCAAATAGAAAAAACATGAGGGCTCTATGGGAGACTACATGGTTAGAGCTAGGAGGGTTGAGGTAAAACATCAATGAAACCATATAACATAGAGAGAAAATGACAGTCACGGAGCACTGAAACAAACATCCGCAATGCTGCCTCAAACGATATCACGGGGTAGCGAGAACACACACTGCAATGAGTGCCACTACTCCAAATAGACCCTTAGTGTTCAAGAAGTCAAACTTAGTAGCTTGCAACCTTCCTCTCGACAAGTTAGAGCTAAACGGCCTGGATCTTATATTATCAAATAATAAGTCAGCTTACTACATACACAAACAAAGAAGTCCCATGAACTTGGAGTGGGGATGATTTATAGGTTTTTAGTCTTTGATTTTAATATTTTATACTTAATTAAATAATAAAAAAATTTAAAATTTCTACAACTTAAATATAACGAACTCAAAATTCAAGCAATCAAATAATTGCTCTGCAATAGTTGATAGTATCATAAAACTCAGAACATTTATATTTTTTTATTTTAATACTTAAACTTCATAAGCACTCTTATAATATTCAAGTAGCATAAAAATTACCACCTTCCGCACATTTATTATCAACTTCAGATTGATGCCATCTTTTGTAGATAATGTTTTGTTTCAAGTTTTTCACTTTTTTTTTTATTTTCATGGGTTTTGGAATTGCATGTGTCACATATCCCATTGATGGAGTTCTTAGCAAAATCTTATCACAACTTCTACTCATCTTCTTTGTCATTTAGGCTTTCGAGACTACAAATGTTGTTAGTCCTATTTCATCCATCCCACGGTCTTCCTCTAGTGATATCTTATTATGACATTCGCTTTTCTACTTTGTGAGTATGTGATACTGTCCTATCAATATTAATTTAGGAGAACTTAATCACTTCTTTTTTTGAAAATTTACATAGGCAACACCCAATTCTTATGCATTTACTTATCTCACACCAAAACTTTGATTTTTATAATCTAAGCATACTTACCTATATATGAAAAGGTGGATTACAGAAATCCACCTTTCCATACATAGATAAAAATGCTGTTGTTGTAAAAATCAAAGTTTATATATGAGATAAGTAAATACATAAGAATAAGATTCTATGTTTGTAAATTCCCCCTTTTTTTATGCTATTAAAAGGATGATAGATTGAACATACCAGATTTCAAAATTAAATATCTAAATGAGCATATATAGTGCTTGTTATGTAAATCACCCATTTACATACATACCACCCAATTTTCATGTATTTATGGATCTAAAACCTAAACATTACTCTTTATATTTATACCACCCAATTCTTTTATATCACAATGAAAATACCATTATTTTAATTTTAAAAAAGAAAAATATAACTTTTCATGTTAGATAATAGAACATATCCATAAAAAATGGTTTTTAGAGTTCTAAGTATAAATACATAGGAATTAAGTGGTATATATGTAAATCTTGACTTCCGGGCTTTGGGTTTTCGTAGTGTAGACCAGGCTCAGAAATCCAGATTCCGAGCTTCAACCGTCCGGCTCAACTTATGCAGATGTTGCTGGCGCCGTCGCCGTTGCGTCCAGCGGCGATTTTCTTCGCTGGTTCTCCACTTTCGCACCCTCATTGGCTTGTTCAATTCTTCGGCTACACTACCACCCTATCCTACCATCCCCTTAGCCGGCGGATTCATCCCCAACCCTCTTTTCCTCCGCGTTCACGTCGGCTTGTGCAATCCCATAGCCACACTTCCTCCCTGTCCTCCCATTCCCTTAGCCATCGAATTCGTCTCCATGCTTCTCATCTATCGCTTCCGCATTTGTTTTCCTCCCTCTCAGTACGCGCTGCTCCGGCGTCGGCCCCCTCCACAGGTTACCCTACCGCTGATGAACAGTCCGAGATGGCGAAGCTTGCCCAGGTCCTTTCTCTCCCTCTCCATCTTCCGAGCTTTAAGTGCATTCGAGTTGATCTGCTTTATGGTAGTAGCTTCTAGATTTTAGCGACATCTGCTTTTATCCCACAACTTTATGGTTGTTATTTGACTAGTTTGTGTAGATTGAGTATGATGCTGCTCTATAGAAAACTAGAGACAGGTAGGGGAATGATACGATGCAAAATATGCTGTTCGGAACCCATTCCATTGCTGTCATTTGAAGCTTGAATGGGGCTAGAGTATAATTTTTAGGCAATATCTTATTACTAGTTAAAATGAGGGGAAGAAAGAAGGAAAATTTGCATAAAAATTCCCACTGTTTCATTGGGCCAGCCGGAAAGTGTTTTTCAACTATTGTGAACTAGTATTTAAGTTTCAACCTTTTTTCTTTAGAAAAGAACACCAAGATCCTTCATTTGTTTTCTGGGAAATTCATTTAAGGTCTTTTAATTGCTTCATTAATTTTAATCGTTTTTTGTGAAATAATACTTATTTTTTATTTTCGGACATAGTTATTTTTCATTCATCCCATTTCCTTTTCTTGCCACTTCGTGGTTATTTTCTCGTGGCTTCTAGTTTATTGAGAGCTAGACCTTGCTATTATCCAACATATGTCGACTGTTTGGTTGTTGCTGAAAATACATTAATGATCGCATGAATGGAACTATTAACCAGCTTCTTCCGGACAATCACTAGATTAAGGAAAAGAGGGATAAGTGGGGGAAGGGTTTTGGGCTGGAACATGTGGACAACATCTGAGCCTTAGAGCGATCTGTCACGGACTAACTTTCCTCAAGTCACCCGCGCGGCTTTAGCGCTCTTTCTTAGCACTAATTTAGCCTCACCCTTGCAACACTGAACTTTTGAGCACCAAATACTCTTAAGAAGAATAGTAGAGAGAAAAGAACACTTCACACTTGAATACTTGAATGCTTTGATTCAATGCTTGGGTGATTACAAATAAGGGAAGGAACTCTTATTTATAGCCCCCTCCAACTTTAATGGAATTTTCTAGAACACATTAAATTATTATAGTTTTTAGAGAGTTCTACATTTCTCTCTTATTACACACATAGCCCTTGAACATTTTAGGTTATTCTTAATTTCTCCTTGGAGCCATTCTCTCTTATTTTCTCTAGAATTGGGTGGAATCTTTTAGAACCCCCTGGATGGCTCCCTGCATTCCAACCTTTTCTAGAATCTTCTGCCCATGCCTGCCTTGCTAACTTCTTGAATATAGCGGAGCGTGACACTCTCCCCCCCTTTCTGCGTTAGTGCTCAACATTCTTTATGCACTTTTCAGATTTCTAACGGGGGAACATCAACATCTACATATGTGATTGTTGATAAACAGATGTAAGTGTTTTTTATTTTTTCATCAATATTTTCAGTTGGCAATGAGGACATTCTTAATGAACTTGGCTTTCACGTCGGCTTGTGCAATCCCATAGCCACACTTCCTCCCTGTCCTCCCATTCCCTTAGCCATCGAATTCGTCTCCATGCTTCTCATCTATCGCTTCCGCATTTGTTTTCCTCCCTCTCAGTACGCGCTGCTCCGGCGTCGGCCCCCTCCACAGGTTACCCTACCGCTGATGAACAGTCCGAGATGGCGAATGATGCACAGGTCCTTTCTCTCCCTCTCCATCTTCCGTGCTTTAAGTGCATTCGAGTTGATCTGCTTTATGGTAGTAGCTTCTAGATTTTAGCGACATCTGCTTTTATCCCACAACTTTATGGTTGTTATTTGACTAGTTTGTGTAGATTGAGTATGATGCTGCTCTATAGAAAACTAGAGACAGGTAGGGGAATGGGGTAGGGGAAACGTTGACTGACATTTTTGATACGATGCAAAATATGCTGTTTGGAACCCATTCCTTTGCTGTCATTTGAAGCTTGAATGGGGCTAGAGTATAATTTTTAGGCAATATCTTATTACTAGTTAAAATGAGGGGAAGAAAGAAGGAAAATTTGCATAAAAATTCCCACTGTTTCATTGGGCCAGCCGGAAAGTGTTTTTCAACTATTGTGAACTAGTATTTAAGTTTCAACCTTTTTTCTTTAGAAAAGAACACCAAGATCCTTCATTTGTTTTCTGGGAAATTCATTTAAGGTCTTTTAATTGCTTCATTAATTTTAATCGTTTTTTGTGAAATAATACTTATTTTTTATTTTCGGACATAGTTATTTTTCATTCATCCCATTTCCTTTTCTTGCCACTTCGTGGTTATTTTCTCGTGGCTTCTAGTTTATTGAGAGCTAGACCTTGCTATTATCCAACATATGTCGACTGTTTGGTTGTTGCTGAAAATACATTAATGATCGCATGAATGGAACTATTAACCAGCTTCTTCCGGACAATCACTAGATTAAGGAAAAGAGGGATAAGTGGGGGAAGGGTTTTGGGCTGGAACATGTGGACAACATCTGAGCCTTAGAGCGATCTGTCACGGACTAACTTTCCTCAAGTCACCCGCGCGGCTTTAGCGCTCTTTCTTAGCACTAATTCAGCCTCACCCTTGCAACGCTGAACTTTTGAGCACCAAATACTCTTAAGAAGAAGAGTAGAGAGAAAAGAACACTTCACACTTTAATACTTGAATGCTTTGATTTAATGCTTGGATCCTTACAAATGAGGGGAGAGACTCCTATTTATAGTCCCCTCCAACCCTAATGGAATATTCTAAAATACATTAAACTATTATAGTTTTTAGAGAGTTCTACATTTCTCTCTTATTACACACATAGCCCTTGAACATTTTAGGTTATTCTTAATTTCTCCTTGGAGCCATTCTCTCTTATTTTCTCTAGAATTGGGTGGAATCTTTTAGAACCCCCTGGATGGCTCCCTGCATTCCAACCTTTTCTAGAATCTTCTGCCCATGCCTGCCTTGCTAACTTCTTGAATATAGCGGAGCGTGACACTCTCCCCCCCTTTCTGCGTTAGTGCTCAACATTCTTTATGCACTTTTCAGATTTCTAACGGGGGAACATCAACATCTACATATGTGATTGTTGATAAACAGATGTAAGTGTTTTTTATTTTTTCATCAATATTTTCAGTTGGCAATGAGGACATTCTTAATGAACTTGGCTTAAGAAGGCACGGTGTGTTTGTTTCATGTATTTATCTTTTACAAATGTGTTGGTGTCAGCTAGCTGTGCCTTTTTATGTCATGGATGAATGTTTGATTCACAATTAAAATTCATTTATATATCTCTTACGAGTTTTATCTTTACAATTCGATATGCTTTCTACAAATTGATAATTAATTCTTGAAATATTGTATAACTTTTATGTGTACAGAAGATTGTATTGTTGTGTATTAATTTTGATCTTGGTTAAGTATATTAAGTCAGCATGATAAATCACCTATTTCTCAAAAAAATTTTCTCACTACTCTCCAGCAATTATAGAATTACGCTACACCTGGATTAATGATGTCTGAATATCCCGAAGTTCTACACTCATTTTCAAATGTTTGGTTACAAAGTTTTCTTATAATGTAAATAAAAAAAAAAAAGCTTCATTGTAATGTATATTGCTATAGATATTCCCTCTTCAACATTAGTGATTCATTCCAAAAAAAAATTTATAGTTTCTGTGTCTTATAATTTGTCTTCTCTATCTTTGTCATTAAGCCAATCTCCTCTAGCAAGAATTTATTAATCTTCAATTTGTGTAATAGATCTAAGATGATTCACATGTTATCAAACAATATCAAATCAACTTTCTGTCCAATTAAAAATGATATTCATGTAACCCATATTTTATTAGGGCCTACATTGTTTTCATGGAGCTCGCATTGGTGCTGGTGGCAAGAGTGGGAGGATAGCCATTGTTAGTCTCTCATTTTATTATTTTTGGACCTCTTAATTTTTGGTTTTTTTTAATCTTTTCATGTTTATTATGAAAAACATTATTTTCTTAAAAAGTGGAATAAATACTTTTTAAATGCATGAATAAGGCTTAGATATTAGATGTGCAAATAGATGAGAACTCACTGGTGTCCATGTAAACCTTCCATTAATTTATTGATGGAACAGTATGATGCACAGTCCACTCATTTTAATTATATATTCCAAGCTTCGAACTTGCAGCCATACATGCATTCATACTGTTTATCCAGCTAAGCAGGACATTAAGCAACATCGGCTAATAATATAAGCATATAGATCCTTGCATCATACAAAATTTTTTTATGAATCAAATTTATTCTTAGTTCATTGACACCTCATACATATTATCCTGTTATTTTCAGATATATCCTTACATCAATCAAATTCTCTAATTCTGAAAAAAAAATCAAATAATTTTACTACTTAGATAAAAAAATTATTAAATAAAATAATTGGATGCGATAATTAATCAAAATAATACTATCATCTAAAAAGTATTGCTTTCTATGAAAGAACCAGCCCAAAAAGAGAATCTAATCATCACTCCATCCCCACATATCTATCTTGTGTTGCACAGGCTATTGGCAAGTGGTATTGGAATGCTCTTACTTGCTCCAAGAAGTTCATTCCTAGGACAATTTTGTAATCATCCAAAGGAATGATGGAGAAGTCTAGAGTACCTGACCATGCCCCAATGTTGGTCTTGACCCTCTTAGCCACTCCGTCGATTGACATCTTTGCTGAGTTAACGACTTTATTGGAGCCCCCTCCTTTAGTCATCTGCAACCCCAACCTCTTTGCTTCCTCACTGGAGATGAAGTTGTGGGAAGTACCCGTATCCACCATAGCCCTAGTGGTCTTCTCTTCTATTGCCATCTCTACAAAGAGTAACACCTTCCCTTGGGGTTTTGTCGGAGCTTGCATCCCGTTCAACAGTTGAAGAGATCCTACATGTGCCTCCATGTCATTTTCCCTATCACTTTCTTCTTCCTCCTTATGGCTTGCAAGAAGAGAGTTGAGGGATTTCTTTTGAGGGCAATCCCTTGCCCAATGAAGTCCTTCACAAAGAAAGCATTGATTTTGATA